AAAAAAAAAAAAATTTGGTTGGGATTCTTTTTTGCTATTTGCCAAAATTACTCCTTCGTTGACTGGCCTAATCATAAATAGAAAATTTTATGAGAATTAAAACAATACTATTTATGTTAAATAGCAGTCAGGAAAATATATAATGATTATTTACTGTATATTTATCAGAAAAACTCATTATATTTTGCATTTTTATCGTAATAGAACACTTAAATAGAAATTATAGTAATCATTTCTAAGTAACTTTTGGTATTTAAAAAGATTCTACAATTGAAATATCCAGAACTGAATTAATTTTATTGATTTTCTTTAACTAAAAAAAAAAAAGTTATTATTTTGAATCCCTCTTGTGGACAGGTAAAGGGTTAGATTTGTAAAAAAAAACCAAATGATAGGTGAAGACATTCACCCGTTTGGCTGCGCTACAGTGTCGGTGTGATCGAGCTCCACGGGGCTACGAAACGTCGGCATGGGCGCAGCTTCCCTAGCTCGGGGAATCGGACGCGTCCTCAGGTTGCGGATAGAGGAACGGCCTGCAGATATGCAGGTTAGCCGCGAAATAAGCAGTCCATTCACTTGGGCTGACGAATAAGCGGTCGCGGACAATGGACCCTTCGATCGCTCGTTAACCCTGCAGATATGCAGGGCAGCCGTGATATAAACCACTCCCTCAGAGTGGACGAATAAGCGGTAGCGTTCGGGGGAAACGGGCAGGTGGGCCCGATAGCCTGATAAGGCGACCACCTAGGTGAAGGTAACATCGAAAACAAATCCCCTGGCGGTAGGTAAAACGCAGGGAAGGCCACCCATAACACCAAACATGGAAGCAAACTATTTAAATAAAACGGTTACCGTTCCAGGAGAATCGGAGTCTCCAGGGCCGGCTGGGAAAGGTGTCGCTACAGGCCTAACTCGGTCGTTATCCAGCGACTGTACCAAGACCGTGGGACTGGTGAGGCATGGTCCAGGGGGCGTTCGCGCTCAAGCTACTGTCGGAGGATGTGCCAAGCAGGCATCCTCCAGTGACCTTCGGGTCACTGAGGTAACTGCTGGTGGCTTTGGTACCGTCAAGGAGATGGTGGACGAATGGGAAGGCGTTTCCTTGTGGCCAATTCAGGACAGCCGAATTGTTCTGTAGTTCAGTATCCACAATCCTGAAGCTTATGCAGAAGGACCTGGACGACGGGCGTTCCTTTGCCCCGGAAAGGGTCAAGGAATATGACCCGTTAGAAGGCGTAGATGACCCCGAGCAGAGAGTAGAGATCATCGATGGATGTATTGCTAGTCGCCGAGGGGAAGCCGCGGCGGAACGTCTAATTGGCGTCGCCCGCCTAGTCGCCTCGCTACAACGACAGCGGGATAATGAGGACCATGGGGCGCGGGCTTCAACAGGCTGCCGAGTACATGGTGTACGTGGAGAAGCAGGAAGTCTCGTCATCTCCTGATGCTGCGGCTGCGGCAAAATAGGACGAGATGATGCGGACGGACGACCGTGGTGGAAGTGCTGAACCTTCCCCTGGGGAAGGCTCATCGACTCGCCTACGCTGAGTCCGTTACTGGAGAGTTCTCCCCCATTGCGCTATCCTGGCAAGATGAGGGCGTCTCTGGGGGAAGAAGAGGAGAGCGACGACGAGGCCACGTTTGATGTCAGCCTCAACCACGTCATTGCTCTCGCCAGAACCGCTGAGGTCGAGGGGAGTCTGATGAACGAGGTCCCGGGCACCCACCTGGAATATCTCGTTCAGTAGATCTCCCTCTCGTGTCAGGCCCTCAGCGAGCTGAGGAGAGCTGTGCGGCCGTGCCGCAAGAGGTGGCATGACCCGGCGGACGTGGCGACTGCCACGTCGTCTATGATCGAAGGCATAGCCGCGCAAATGGCCGTGCTTCGAGGGGTTATAGACAAACGCCGGGGTATGGGGGTGCACAAGGAGGTGCAAACGGCGACGAAGCACCTGGAGGAGATCCTGGATGAGGAGATACGCAGAAGAGCGTCTCCGCCGTCCAGGATCCACCAGGAAGCCTCAGCGGAGTCCAAAGCCGAGCCGCGGGCGCCGGAAGGAGCGCTCCCGAAATCGGCCAAAGAAATCGGGACGCAAACGGTCGTCGAGGACCCACCGGCCGTTATACCGAAGGGACCAGATGAGACGGAGAAGAAGAGGAAAAGAAAGAGGAAACTGTGGTTTGCGGTACTTTGGGCGGGCTAGTTCTTCTTGTCCGGATGGTTTCCCGTGAACCGTCCGGAACTCTTTCTGGTTCCCGTACTCACTGTTTTTCTTTCTGGGCAATTCGCCCACTAGTGCCCAGTCCGGTTGCAGTTTTTACAACGTGCCGCTCCGGACGGGCTTTTATCCGGTCTAATATCCAAACAGAATAGAAAACAGAATTTTCATCGGCGTAGGGGAGTCTGTGAACCTCGGGGTACTGGTCGTTTAGACGGGCCGAAACAAATTTTTCACCGGAGAAGTAATTTCTACGGTGTTATTTCGTCGAAGTATCCCGTAAGTCACCGAAGAACTGATTTGAAGTCTGAAGCTCCGGTGGGGGGGATGAGAGGTCCTCTCAAACTGCTCGGTCGGAATTTTCCGGGACGGCCATCTGCTCATCCCCTTCCAATCGGAGTTGTGAATTCTCGGGTCTGTCCGCTGTAACTCGCCTAAGCGTAAGGTGTGGCGGCAGAGTTCCCCTATTGGTACTGCAAGGTACCCCATGTACTTCGCAAGCAGACAAGTTGACTTGCTTTATCAAGTCGTTCAACTTTTTCTCATGCTGAGCAATATGTTCGCTCTGTTGGGCGACTATTGCTTCCAGCTCCTCGTTCCGCTTCGCATTATCCTCGACGTACCCGCATAACATCATATAAGTATCATTTAACAGTGACCAGCTGTCTCGGTCGTCTTCGGAACGGCGATCGTCATCTTCCGGTTGCCCGGGCCTCCCGTTTAAGGGATATCGTCATCTTGGGGCGGAGGATTACTCGGTTTTTCGGGGTGAAATTTGACGCTTGCCGCGTTAACCCCCTCCTCCTGGCTTAGATAGTCTTCCAGGCGAACCATAAGGTCGGCTTTAGAACCCCCAGTTGCGAGACCCCGTCGTGACAGTTCCCCTTGCAACTCTCTTATCGTCAGCTCAAGTATACTCTTACCTGACATATTGAGTGCTGATATTCTAATAATAGCAGATAAGTTGGTCAATGGGGATAAGCTAATGCGCTGATCACGTGATCGGGAAGTGGACTTATCTACAAGATATTTTTAGCACAAATCACATTAGGAAATTCTCCTGTATAATAAGTCCATCTCTAACTATATAGCTTATATACACCTTAACCCCAAAAATTAATAAGCTTATGACTAATTAAGTCTTAAAAATTTCTTTTTCTGGGACTTACTACACTTTTAGTCAGTTAACAAAGGGTAAGCGCCGCGATCGCCATCCAGTGGTAAGCTGGAGTCGCGATGCGACCGCGACATACTTTGAATTTTATTAAACGGGAAAAAGGTCTTAACAGACAAATAACCATTTGAACTACCTTAAATAGCCTTTATTATCCTCTCACAGTCGTAGCAACCTATGGGTCAATTGGTAACGCACGAGGCTGAAGCATTTTAGGTAGATGCACTTATGATAGTGATTAAAATCACTATCATAAGAAACGCTTCGATGCAAATCTGTAGATAGTGTTTAATTCTAAGAAATTGATGGATAATTACAAGAGCAACATCAACTTCTATTTTCTTAATTATACCCAGATTAGTAATTCTTTTAATTATATATTATATAATTTTTAAAATTAATTCAATTCTAAATATTTCCATTGTAGAATCTTTTTAAACACCAAAAGTTACAAGGAAATTATTACTATTACTTCTATTTCAGTTATCTATTACGATAAAAATGCAAAAAAATCAAAATTTTCTGATAAATGTACTGTAAATAGTAATTATAAAATTTCCTGATTGCATATTAATCTTAAAAATTTCATTTTTTTCTATTTAATAATGTCAATTTTAAACTTGCAAGTTGAACTATAAGTTATGGTAACAAATTCATTTTTTTTTTATTAAAACTTTCACTTTAAAGGACAAAAAAAAGTAGTTTCAAAATGATTACTTTTAACATATTAAAAATCAAAATCAATAATAATTTGAAATCAATTAATTTTAAAAATTATATAATATATAATAAAAAGAATTACTAATCTAGGTATAATTAAGGAAATAGAAGTTGATGTTGCTTTTTTAATTTTTCATCAATTTCTTAAAATTAAACACTGTCTGCAGATTTGTATCGAAGCATTCCTTATAATAAGGATTTTAATCACTGTCAGATTAAATCTATACTGGACCAAACTATGCAACGTCCCCACTATGCGGCGACCCCACTGTGCTGAGTTTTTTTTTTCATTTTATAATATATAACATAACTTTTGATTTGATATATGTTTAAAGGACACAGTATTTCCGGAACATTTTCAAAAATTAAGTTGAAAACGTTAGTTTTTGTAAAAAAGTTGCTATTTTAAACCCCCCCCCCCAATGAACAGGTTAAGTGTTAGATTTTCAAATAAATGATATCAAATGAAAGAAAAATATCTAAGGTCTTAATAAAAAAAAAAATTATGTTCATTTGTTTATTTTTGAAAAAGTTATGGAAGTTTTAAGAAAAAAAATTTTCCGACGTTCGCCAATAATTTTCAATAAACTTTCGTTGAAAAAAAAATGTTGAAAATCCGAGCACGCTAAGTAATTTTCCCAGAAAAGCGTTTTTTTTCTTGTTCTATTATATAATAAGATATCATATATTATATATTACGCTTAATTTATAAAAATACCACCTTGATCAAAAAGTTCCCGGAATAACCATCGTATGGAGCTCCCATTGTTCCGATTTGAGTACTGTTTTTTTTGATAAGTTTTTATCTGTTGTTGATATTCCCTCTAAATCTTAGTGCCAAAGCTTGACATTTGCAAAAGTTACGTAGCCAAAAGTACATCTATCTCTTTGTGTGTTGGCGATTTTTTACAATTTTAGAAATGGATTTAAATTTGCAACAACGAACTTGTGTTAAATTTTGTGTAAAAAACGGATTTAATGATGCGCGAACGTTTGAAATGTTGGAAAAGTGTTTTGGCAACGATTCTCTAAAGAAAACGGTCGTTTATCAGTGGCACGAGCGGTTCAAAAGTGGTCGTGAATCAATCATAGATGATGAATTGTTGGTCAATAACCGCAAATTAACCATCAGAGAAATAGCGGAGGACTTGAGCATTGCCTATGGATCCGTCCAAGACATTTTGGTTAATGATTTGGGTTTCCGTCGTATAGCAGCAAAGTTGGTACCAAAAGACCTCAATTTCATGCAAAAAAGAGACCGTGTTGAAGTCGCAAAAGACATGATTTGCGAGACTGAATCCGATTCCACATTCATCAAAAGGATCATTACTGGAGACGAAACGTGGGTTTGTGAGTATGACACACAATCAAGATATTAGACAAGTGAATGGCGTTCACCAAATTAGCCGAAACCAAAAAAAACACGTCGTTTTCAGTCAAAAAAGAAAGCTATGCTCACGGTTTTCATGGATTATAACGGTGTAGTACACCATGAATTTTCGTCAAAAGACCAGACAGTAAACAAAGAGTATTATTTGGGCGTTATGAGACGTTTGCGTGAAGCAATTCGCCGAAAGAGACCAGAATTGTGGGCAAAAAATTCGTGAATTTTGCATCATGATAACGCTCCGTCGCACAGTGCCATCATTATTCATAATTTTTTGACGAAAAATGCAACAAATACTATCCAACAGCCACCGAATTCATCTGATTTGGCTCCCTATGACTTCTTTCTATTCAATCGAGTTAAAACCCCATTACGGGGAACGCGTTTCAGCAGCCGAGAGGAAGTAATAAAAAAATCTCAGGAAGCACTGATGGACATACCAAAAACTGAATATAAAAAATGTTTCGAGGATTGGATCAAGCGTTGGCATAAGTGTGTTGCAGTCAATGGGGATTACTTTGAAGGGGAAAATATAGATTTAGATGAATAAACTTGTATTTTTAATTTTCTGAATAATTTCGGGAACTTTTTGATCAAGATGGTAATGTATAAGTTCTTAAGATTAGTGAACAATTTTTTTGTCTATATATATTATACATAAATATCAGCCAAACTACATAAAAAAACATGTTAAGCTTACTTGAACCTTACTAGAAATATACTATATATTAATGCTAATTAGGTTATCTACGTATTCAATTTTCGGCTTAAAATTTTAAAACTAAAAAATTTGTATTATTCAGTAAAAATTTAACTATTTCGATATACTAAATTATATTTGACCAAAATAAGAGAGATCGTTCATTGTTTTTGGTAAAATTTTTAATCACATATATAAGTGGTTCATAATAAGTGAATCGCTATGTATATATTTTATAAATATTTTATGATTATTCTAATTTTCTAATTTATTTCAATAGTTACCTTTTTTGTACATCATATTTATTAAAATTTGTTCTACCATATCTCTTCCATTTCTACGATAGCTAGAAATTTCATTTATCTTCTTTGACAAAATAATAGAAAACCATTTTTTGGTAATGACTGTATTATAAAGAATATCATGAAGCCATTTGATGCCTTTATGATATTTGTCTAGTTTGACCTATTCAATTAAAACATTAATTATGAGTCTAAAGTTTCAAATATTAATTATTAAAATTGTACATTTAAAACTAAATTAATAATTGATTAATTATTATATCCAATATGATAACATGATTATAATAAGTAAAACAAAAAATTTATTTAAACTATAAATTAATTGAGTTGAGTTAAATAATTTTCAAAATCATATTACATTTAACATTTAATTCATTATACCAAGAAAAATAAAATAATTTCGTAAAATATATATACGATAATTCTTTTAAANTATGATAGTGATTTAAATCACTGTCAAATATCATCTATACTTGTCCCATCTATGCCTTGTCTACACTGTGCCTCGACCCCACTGTGCTACCGTTTTTTTAAATAGAAACATACATTTTTAACAAACTTGTAAAATAAAAAATGACTAAGTAAGATAATGACTAGTCGATAACAAATTTTGGACCTGTCATTTTCTTAATTAGATAATTTTCTAATGGGGTAAATGGGGTAAACATTAAAAATATTTTACTATAGATAAATGTAAATACAGTTGTCACTAACAAAAGCCAAAAAAATTTAAAAAAAAAATTATTATTTGAATTGAGCGACTAGTGTTAAAATAATCATCTTATATATATATGTGGGTACTATTGGTATCTAGATGGCACCACTTCCAGGGTCTGAAGATAGATAGTGGTATCAAGTACATAGAGGGAGATTAAGTCAAGTCGTGAGTCGGCTAAAACGTGTCTCTATGTATATTCTTTAGTTTTATAAGTGTATTCTGTTTTATATTTTTATTTCTGTGTTGTGTGAATATTTTATATAGAGTTTTCGTGCGTATTTAAATATATATGTGTTATTTTTGTTTGTTAACATTTAATAGAGTTTTTTGTGTATTAATTTATATATATATATAAATTAAATATAGTATTGCGTCTTTGCTCTGTTCCTGTAATTGCCTGTTTGCATTTTCCCACATATATATTTATTATTATTATTATTATTATTATTATAAATAAATAAAAAATAAATTCCTTTTTTTTAAAATAAAAAAAATGTAAAAACTCTCTATAATTAGAACATACATAAACTGATATAAATATGACAGAAGAAAAATATCCAAATGTAAACGATTTTGAACAAATCCCAATAGATGCTTGTTTATGTATAATGTCTTTATCTAATTTTGCATTTACATTCGTATAAATTTTATCTCTTCGTATTGAAGGACTATTTATTATTAAATCAAGAAAAGTGGGTAAGTATTTTCTAAGATTCAATGCCAAATTTTTAGTGTTGATTAATGCTTTCAGCTGAAAAGAAATTATTGTATAGTAACATAATTAGTATGTCTTACAAGTAATTAAAAATTATGCATAATTTGTTACTTACATAAACAAAATTACTTTTAATATTGTCAATATCAACGAACAATGGAACTTCGGAAGTTTTGAATAAATTGTGTTGATTTATTGAATTTGATGAAAAAGTATCACAAGTTAAAAACTGTATGAATTCAACATTAGGGATTTTAATTGACGTTATCATTTCACTGGGGGTTTTTTTCTGAAATTTATGAATTATTAAATTAATTGATGCTTTAAAATCACTGTATTATACAAAGTTATTATTATTTTCAAAGTTTTTTTAATAAACAAAACATGATAGGTGCCTTAAATTTTCATCATCATCTCAATAGACTCTCACCCAACTATTTATGGTCAGCACTACCATGTTAAATTTTTAAACTGGCTAACGTTCAGTCACAGCCTTATGATATCTTAAGGAACCAGCAACAGGGAAAGGGTTTTGTCACTGTTGTAGTTCCATCTGGAAACAAATAATAAACAGCGCAGTTGTACATTCGCGCTAAGACAGCGACTTAGTTAGTCCACTACACCTTTCCACGGCCCGCTAGGTAGTTTAAATAATTCTAATAGATTATAAATGATAGCTATTAAACATTGTTATTATTTAATTATTTTTATATTACTTCACATTCTGTTTTAGCATTCAGTAGTTCATTAGCTTTTAATTTTAAACCATCATCCCCTAAATCATTTTTGCGTTGTGATACTCTTTGAATTTCTTCATTAGCTAGCTCATTATGTTTTTTTATAGATGGTATTCCTCTTACAATTACTTTGTGATCATTTAATAAATAATCTCTTAAAATATTTTTCCAAAACAAGATATCTTCACTGAGAAGTTTATTAAAAATTCTATTTGTGTTCAATATTTCGTCTAACTAAATTTATGCAGTCATAATAAATTTTATTTTTGTAATGTTCCTTTAACATTATTTAATTTTACTTACATCTGATTTATTCTTTCCATACAAAAAGTCAAAAATTATTAGGAATGGTAAAGTAAAATTAAGACCATATTCTAGATTTTTTAGCTCAAAATGCTTTATTATATTAATAAATTTTTTTAGTTCTTCTAGGTCAAAATAATCATTATCATCAATTAGCTTTTTAAATATTTCATTTAATTTTAATGGTATTTGTTCTTCATCTAATTTTCTAATTGGTACATTTTTAAATACAAGTCTTATAAATGGATTTAAATTATCGTTAATATTGAAAGTCACCTAGAAATAAATGAAAAATAATTCACTAAGAACCATTAATTGAACAAAATAAAAATTTGTATTATTTTTACTTGGCTACATAATGGGTCTGATATTTGAACAAACTCTATCTTCATTTGAATAGTAGTTAAATAACGTAAAAGTATCTCACAAGCCTTATACCTATAAAAAAAAGGTATAATTAATATTTAATAAAATATATATTTTAATTTTATTTAAAAACTTATTATTTATATGATTCTTTAACTATAGTTATTTAATTATTTAAGATTATAATATCAAAATTTGTAAGGAATAATACTTAGTAGATAAGTAAATTTATATATAAAGAATTGAACAGATCAAATTGACAGCTCTTATAAATTATTATACAGTTAAAGCTTTGTTAGTTGAGAAGTTATTTAACATTGTCAACCAAAGCACAAACTCTTGATACTTCTTAACACTTTTCTTTAGAAGTAATCAACCATGACACGGCCACGGCGTGTCACCCGTTTGGCACCCCGCGGTCGTGACAGCTTCTTCTCAGCCACTACTAAACGGGATCGTTACACACACCCAGAGAAAAACCTTGATCTATATAATAAATTCAATGTTCAATTTGATAAATATATCATTACTATTGAGACTATGATATATTTATCGATATGATAATTTTTTTTCTTGTCTTGAACAATAATTATTTATAAGAATAATTATTTTGTTCGTATTAATAAAACATTATCATAAACCCTTGATAAAATTTCTCTATCAAAATTGATTGAGGTTTTTCTTTGGGTGCACACGCGTTATCGTCGTGGTGTAAAGTTCAACAAATGTCAGCGTCGAACACTCGTCGCAACAATACGTTTATCAGTCATCTTCGTAACACCACCAAATGATCTGTCGTCCGTTTTATTCGCTTTACCATAAGTCATCAGCATTTCTTTCATATTTTAGAAATAATTAGTACTTTTGTTTATTTTTGTTTTACATTCTTAATCAAACTTGTATGGTTAATTTTCTGTTTTTGTGCTCGGCACTCGAGTGTTGCAACGTGTCAAACAATAATTCAAAAAGAGTTGATATACATATTATATTATTATTTTACAATGAAATAATTAAAATTATTTGAAAAAGAGGTCGGTATGAAATATTGAGGAAAACATAAATAATTTGTGGAATAGATTAAAGAATACTGTAAAGGAAATTGTTGATGAGCATAGGAAGAGGTTTCCAGAAAACAAGGAAACCTAGTACTGGGATGAGAAAATTAAAAAAATCATAGAGAGTAAAAAAAATGAGTACAAAGTCTAGAAGAAAAACAAAAAGAGATAAGATTGGATGGATTTTAAATGCTTGTGCAAAATACCAAGAGAGTGACAAGAAGGGCGAAGATTAAGAGGTATGATAGGCACATCATCATAAAATTAAAATTTTCTCAGTTTTGGATCGAAGCTAAATAAAATTATCCTGACAATAGTTCTACTATGTGAAAGCAAAATACTAGTGATGTGAATCACTGCTTGATGTCATCTATACTTGCCTCAACTCTGCCTTGACCCAGTACAGTATGCTGGGTTTTTTTAAGAAGTTAGTCGCATTTTTATACCTAAATGTGAGGAGTGTGCCCGAGAAATATCTAGTCTTAAAATAATTTTCACCTACATCTCAACTCCAGTCATTAGTATAAGTTTTTATTAACTTCTCACATATTATTTCAAAAATTGTTATTGATGTCTTTAGTTTTATTTATTTATATAAATATTTACGTAACAAGTCCAAGATACAAATTACAATAGTCAGTACATAGTTATTTTTACGATATTTACATAATAGAAAAGGTGTAAAACAAGAAAATGAAATTAATAAACTTAATGCAGCTTAATAAGTATTACTACAAACTAGACTTGCAAAACACAAAAAGCGAATTATAGGACAATTAAGGAAAAATAAGTTTAAAATTTTGGGAAATGCAGTTAATAAACCTAAGAAGCTTAAGCGCTTTACAAAATTTTTCTTGGATATATGCAGTAGGAGAAAAATTTTTATCAAGAAGTAGCCAAGATCACAAATTTTTTATAAGGATACCATTTATGCTATAATTAAAAGTTATAAGAGAGCACAGACTATAGAAAGATATGTATGAACACTTGGCTATATTTAATGAAAGTCCTAAATAGTTGCCCCAAACTACAAGACAACATTAACATAGTAATCTTGGAGTTATAGACATTATTCATTAGGTTAATTCTTATTTTATAAGCAAGCTTAATACATATTTTACCATTTAAAAAATAAAGTTGACACTCCTATACATGTCCTATCCCTTATAAAAAATAAGACACAGACCCAAAAAGTACTTAAACATTTATAAATCAAGAGATAAACAATAATCAACAACCAGTAACAGTTATTTAAAGTTTAATTGTGATCAGAAAATGCAGTACTTAGTTTAAAGGTGGTATCTTGTTGAGTTAATAATTTTTCTAAAAACTAGTTGCGTTTGTCGATATAAAATCCAATAAATCAGATTAACATTTTTATTTTTTCAGGTTTTAATAATATTTCAAAAAACATACATTCTTAAAACCTACAATAAATTTAGTTAATACTATGTACGTAAAGAAAAAATAAAATTATCCGAAATCACAATTTCTAATAGTAACGCGTAATAAGTAAAAGTTCATAGAGNAAACCTACAATAAATTTAGTTAATACTATGTACGTAAAGAAAAAATAAAATTATCCGAAATCACAATTTCTAATAGTAACGCGCAATAAGTAAAAGTTCATAGAGTATTTAGTAAAATTTGTCGATTTTGAAGTGTTTTACATAACAAAGGAATATTAGGAATACAAAGCCAAACCAAATATAAGTTATTCCGTGTACNTAGTAAAATTTGTCGATTTTGAAGTGTTTTACATAACAAAGGAATATTAGCTGCATTCAAAGCCAAACCAAATATAAGTTATTCCGTGTACTCTATGATTAAAAAAAATCGTTTTATTATTTTGGAAATAATTACAATAATTAATAATGTAATCATTTTTGTACTAGGTACATAAGTAGAAGCATTTTACAATAGTGGTTTTCATCACTCTCAAATATCAATCAATAAATATTTTAATAATGCCATAATCCCACTTCGCTCAATCCCTACTGTACATTATATATATTTTTTTCTTATTATTAGAGACAAACAATAAAAACTTATTTTAATATAATATATTAATACGAGAATTGTTTAAAAATAAATTACAATCATATGATAACTGAATCAAAAGTTATGTTATATTTGGATATAACACTATATGATATTATACATAATATTAAATATATTAAATACTTGTATGTATAAGTTGACCCAACTGGTCCTCTCCAACCGATATTCATATAACCATTGGTCTCTTTATCACATGGAAATAGTTCTACATAATTTGAAGATTCCGTTAAAGGATCTACAGGGTTTTGCCAGGGTTTTATATATTCTCCACGGCTTCCCTTTATTATTAATATTTTAAATTAAATCTTTATTAATATTAAAATTAAACATAAATTTCATTACTTTTGATAAAATCTTTTGAATAACTGGTTCTAGACTATTAAAAAAAGAAAAATGATCTATTTTTCCAGTAANCATTACTTTTGATAAAATCTTTTGAATAACTGGTTCTAGACTATTAAAAAAAGAAAAATGGTCTACTTTTCCAGTAACTAGAAGTAACAGATTTTCAGGCCGGTAATATGCTTGATGGTATTTACGAATCTATCAAATTAATTTTATTAGCAATACTTATTATTATTTATCAAATTATTCACAGATTTAATAAGAATAATTTGTACTTTTTCAATAGTAGTTGACTCGCGTAAATTTTTCATTATTCCTCCATGTACTGATTTGTAGCCACATTTACCAGGATATATTTTTTTTAATAATGATTGTCGTACAATATTTTCTGCAGTATTTTCTACTTCTTTTAATTCACAATAAACAACACCAGCATCTTTACCATCGGAAGTTATATGGTGAACTTGTGTGATAAAACCAGAATCCTAAAATTCACAAAATATTGTCGACAATTTATAATAAAGTTTAAATAAAATAAAAATTACAGTTAAAGTAGGATATAAAATATGGTCAAGATAAATTGGAAGCAACGAAAGAAATCCTTCACTCCCTGCTGTGCTGACTGTATAGCAAGTATGATCCACAGCTATAAAATAATATATTAATAATTAGAATATAGGAAACATTTCTAATAATTTTTGATAAATTACCAGTATAAGCATTAGTCCCTGAAGCAAGACACCGATTTGATAATAAATCAAGAACTCCTTTGTAAGGATAATTTTCCGATCCAAGAAATATTAAATGTTCTAATGTGTGTGGAATACCATTATCATCATGAGTTTCTGTTGCTAAACATTTCATAAAATAAATTATTTAATTATTATATTTTAAGTATATTTTGTAAAATTAATTTACCCAAAGTGAAGTATCCATTTACAACTGGACCATCAATGTCACCAAATACAATAGTAATCCCAGTACGTAAGCATTGATACTTATACACTGGTATAACATTTTCAAACAATGAATGATTGAGAAGACTATATTTATCAGCAAAATGTTGTTTTATGGTACCATCATTAGCATTAATAATATCGGTTATATGGCCAAAAATTAAAATACTTTGTAATACGACAAAAAGGTATCCCTTCATTTTTGTATACGTGTGTATTATATATTTTTAATTTATCTTGATTGAGCCGTCTGCTTGATGCGAGTACATTTTATATTTTCGTGTTATCGATAATGTTTGATCAGCTTTGTCACAATTTCAATAAAAGTTTTGGTAGAACTCATTATATGTAAAACCAACTAAACTCCCCCTTAATTTTTTCTTTAAATAAACATGCATATTTTTATGTTGAAATTTAGGAAGTCCATCCAAGCCTCTATTCCAAATTTGCACTTACGAGTGCAAAAATTTGAGCCAATATTTAAATTACAATAAATCATACCATAAAAAATCAAATACTATACAGAGTGGCCCACCACTCACTGACAACTTAAATAACTTTTGATCCAGTTAATATTTTTAGCTGATTTTTTTTTAAATAATAGTTATACGTTAGGTCTATAGCTATATCTCAATAATTAATTTTTTTACATTTTATTAAAAATATTAATTATTTTTAAATTTTAAATAAAATGTAAAAAAAAAATCTAAGATAGCTATTTTGTAGAGTAGAATTTAAGAAAAATTTTTGTAAAAAAATATCTTATTAATATTCAGTAGTAAATATTCTGTAGCGTTTTGAAGTTTGTGAAAATTTGAATTTTCATGTATTATTTTACGGTATTAAACATTGAAATACGTATTGAGAAAAGAACAGAAGAAAACACTATCTTTTCATGATTACTATAATTTGGAAGTGTGTAACTTTTTCAATGAAAATGACTTATACTTTTGAATGAGAGTGATAAGTAATAATTGCTTTATCTAATTTCTTATCATGGTATTAATGCAAAGTTTGTAATGTATACACATTATCATTATATGTATACACAGTAATCATGAAAAGATAGCGTTGATACTATTGATACATATACTCTGGCATAACATTTTCAAACAATGAATGATTGAGAAGACTATATTTATCAGCAAAATGTTGTTTTATGGTACCATCATTAGCATTAATAATATCGGTTATATGGCCAAAAATTAAAATACTTTGTAATACGACAAAAAGGTATCCCTTCATTTTTGTATACGTGTGTATTATATATTTTTAATTTATCTTGATTGAGCCGTCTGCTTGATGCGAGTACATTTTATATTTTCGTGTTATCGATAATGTTTGATCAGCTTTGTCACAATTTCAATAAAAGTTTTGGTAGAACTCATTATATGTAAAACCAACTAAATTCCCCCCTATTTTTTTCTTTAAATAATCATGCATATTTTTATGTTGAAATTTAGGAAGTCCATCCAAGCCTCTATTCCAAATTTGCACTTACGAGTGCAAAAGTTTGAGCCAATATTTAAATTACAATAAATCATACCATAAAAAATCAAATACTATACAGAGTGGCCCACCACTCACTGACAACTTAAATAACTTTAGGGTAATAAGGGTAATAAATTAATGAAATAAAACATTTTATCTATAGTGACTTACACCAAATTTAATTTGTTATGGACTAGAATTTACATTTATTTCGGTTTCGCTCATTTTTTTTTATATCAAGTATAGAATTTACGTTGTAAATGTATTAAACGTAAATTTCTCGGGAATTTAGGAGTATGAATAGTTTTGTGTAAAATACCAATTTTTAGATAAAAATAAGATTACTCATTTCATATAATGCACACGAAATGATTATAAATTTTTAGTACACATGTTCAGACACGTAATTTTCACATGTATAGTATTCTTTTTTCTATTTATAATTTAACTTCATAGTGTAAAATATACTGTAAAATACTCGCCCGCAAAAATTTGAGCCAATATTTAAATTACAATAAATCATACCATAAAAAATCAAAACTATATATTGCTGTTCAAATATGTGATTACAGCGATTTTCATCAAGAAAAACAATATACTCAATAATAATATTCTAATTGGATAGTAATTTTGACTTGTAATGAATTATTAAGTATCATAATTTAAATAAATTATAAATTGTTGCATTTTTAAAAATCGTCTCATTGAATTTGCTTGTCGAGAAGTGGTTTACTTTAAGCAAAACCTTACAAAAACTACATTTTGCCTTATTTTATATTATACCATATTAAAATAGTTTGAAATTAAAGTTGATTTATGACACATTTTTTTAAATAAAAATTAAGTTCATAAAATTTTTAAAAAAATGTTTTCGAATTTGTATATGAAATTTTAAAATAAATTTGTATCTCTTACAAATGCACTAACTAGACCTCAGAATGTTATAAAAATATAAGTTTATAAAATGTGTTGCTAAAATCAAAAAAATTTTAAACAATACCTTGCATTTTAATACAAGTCTATGTAGTCTAATGTAACTTATATTACTATAATTTTTAAATTATTTTGAAAAATCAAAATCAATTGACAGTGAATTTTTCCTAATGTTTTCCAACATGAATAAATACAATGCGCATAGGATTTTTAATTTTCAAAACTGTCGAATCAAAATTACTGTTGGTAAAAAAATGTTAGCTTGTATTTCTTTTTTGTAAAATTTAACTAACAGCTTAGTGTCCCAAAATGGATAAAATACCAAAAATTAAGCACATCAATAACGCATCAAATTTGTAATTTTCAACTTTATTGTAAAATAACGTTTCAAAAACTTATCAAAATCATAAAAATTTTAAAATCGAGTTAGCATTTCATTAACACATCAAAGTTTTCAATACTTATAAAATAACTTTTCTAAAATCCTAATAAAAATAATATTTATTTCTATAATAAAGTGAAAAATATTTATTTATTTAATAAAAGTTTACATTTATTTTATTAAGTTTTTACAGTATGTTTATGAATTATTATTATTATTATTATTATTTGTGATGTTTTTGAAACGCTAGTGAAATGCTAATTTTCAAGAATAGCGCATCAACAGCATTTCAATGTCCTCAAGTTTAGGCTATCAATAACGCATCTAAGCTGGGCAATCCCAAATAACTACAATTTGGAAGTGTTATTGATGTGCTAAATACCATTGAGCGAGGTACTTTTAAGACTATCAATAGCGCATCAAACGTCTCAATTTTTGAAAACTTTGAGATGCTATTGATGTTTTAAAATTACTATTTTAGATTTCCTCTGTTATTCGACTATTTCTAGAATCATTTAATGAAAAATTTTAGACTTTTAGACAAGTATAACAGTTAATAATCATTTTATTTTTAACACGCTTTTATTAGTTTCACGTGTATGTTTGTTGTTGTTTGTTGTTTGTAAGTTTGTAACTCTCCAAACGCCACGCGTTATCGCATATTCCGTTGTCTAGACTAGACTGTTATACGCATTCACCCCTCCCCACGCCTCGCTCACAATACGACGGTACACTATTCCTATAAAAATTTATTTTTAGTTATCGTACCCGTACACGCGTGCTTGTCATCAATATTATATATATGTAAACAAATTTTTATTTTGACTGACCAATAACGCCCGCGTCTAATGCGCCTTACGTATATATATATATATTCCTACCGCCGTTTATACCTCGGGTATAACGTTAGTCCGACCCGCCCGGCCATAAAACACAGCTATACTTAGTGCATGATACTTTTACGTAGTTAAGTCGCATTATTTGTATAAATATATATATTCTAATTACTATTAAAATTAATATATTAACACGATTTATTCTAATTAAGAGATATAAAGTATTCATTCCGATTACGAGGGATGATTTCCGTATCGTCATTTTTCGTCACTACCTCCACGTTCCGGGAGTGAGTAATTTACGCGCCTGCTGCTTTCCTTGGATGTGGTAGCCGTTTCTCAGACTCCCTCCCCAGAATCGAACCCTGATTTCCCGTTACCCGTAACAACCATGATATTGATAGTAACTACTATCATAACATGAAACTAAAAAGTAAAAAATAAATATAGTTTAAAAAACTAAAAAAACACGCTTTTAAAGTACATCGAACTAAAAAGTTAAAAATAATTTTTAAAATAATTATGAACAAAAAATACTAGTATTATTGTGATAAAAGCGTGGGTGCTTTGTGCCATATTTTTCGTATATTGAGCGCCCGACGCTTTTATCACAATAATACTAGTATTTTTTGTTCATAATTATTTTAAAAATTATTTTTAACTTTTTAGTTCGATGTACTTTAAAAGCGTGTTTTTTTAGTTTTTTAAACTATATTTATTCTATTTTATTGCTTTATTGTTTTTGAAATCAAAATGTATTAAAATTATTTATTATAATCTATTTTTAAATGTATATAAGTCTATGTAAATATATTCTAGTCAGTATATATTTTAACAAATTGCAAAATAACAAGGTAAATATATATTGTATATTTTAGATTATTTTTAATGAAGTTTTGAAAAAGGGTAATAAATTAATGAAATAAAACATTTTATCTATAGTGACTTACACCAAATTTAATTTGTTATGGACTAGAATTTACATTTATTTCGGTTTCGCTCATTTTTTTTTATATCAAGTATAGAATTTACGTTGTAAATGTATTAAACGTAAATTTCTCGGGAATTTAGGAGTATGAATAGTTTTGTGTAAAATACCAATTTTTAGATAAAAATAAGATTACTCATTTCATATAATGCACACGAAATAATTATAAATTTTTAGTACACATGTTCAGACACGTAATTTTCACATGTATAGTATTCTTTTTTCTATTTATAATTTAACTTCATAGTGTAAAATATACTGTAAAATACTCGCCCGCAATCGTTTTAAAATTTTAACCGTTTTCGAGGAAATCTTTCGCAAACGCTAGCATTTTACAGTTATAGATTTAAAATTTTTACCAAAATCGCCAAAAGATATTTCTAAGATTTCATAAAAAAATTAATCCAATCTGTTCATTTTTAGCTTCGATGCGAAGCTGAGAAGGTATTTTATCGTTATACGAGTATTTAGCTTCGATGAAAAGCTAAGAAGGTATTAATTTTATTTTGATGTATTTTTTTGGAGTCTATTGCCATTTTTTCTCTGCTCATTCGGACCGATTTCTTTCAACAATAAATCAATAGATCATACATGGTATCTAATTAAAGAAAATAAAAAAATTTCCCTGTAAATGGGCAATCCTTCCAATAATTTTTTTTTTTTAATTGGTAAATTTCGACATTTTTAAAAGTTTTTTTTTTATAATCGCCATAATTCTTTGAAAAATAGAATAATACAAACAATTTTAGCTTTGATGCGAAGCTGAGAAGGTATTGATTATACTATGAAGCGTTTTATTTACACTTATTCTCAGCTCTCACCGAATCGATTTCTATCAATGATACGTCAAAAGACCACAAATCGTATCTAGTCGAAGATATTACCCTCAAAAATTGAAAAAATTTGCCTCATTTCCCGTAAATAGAGGAAATTATAAAATGAAAAATCGCCAATTTTCGAAATTTTTTCAATTTTTTTTACTTAAAACTGCCATAACTTTTTCGAAAATGAACAAATCAATATAATTTTTTTTTTTATAGATGCTTGATGTCTATGATGTGGGATTTAAAATGACAACATTTTTACAAAAAATTAACTTTTTCAACTTAAATTTTGAAAGTGTTCCGGAAATACTGACACTTTTATATATATTTTAAATTAAAGCTAATGTAATGTACTTTATTACGGAAAAAAAAAATGTCGGACTTTATTTTGTCTTTATGGTGAAAATAGTTACCAAATGCTATTTTTGTGTGAAAATTCTCGATTTTATATTTACATTTTTAACTTTATAATGCTTTAACTTATTGAAAAATGTATGGATCAATACAATTATTTCATGAGAAGTAGTATTTAAATACATCTTTCATTTGAAATACTTTATCTTAATTAGGATATAAATAATAAAATAGGAGATCATGTAGCTTTTGGAATAATCCATTTTTTTTTTAAATTTAACACTGTCTACAGATTCACATCGAAGCGTTTTTTATGATAGTGAGTTTAATCACTGTTAGATATCATCTATACTGGACTCAACTGTGCCATGACCCTACTGTGTTGGGTTTTTTTTTTAATATTAATATTAGATATTTTCCTTTCATTTTATAAATATTTTTTGAAAATCTGACTTTTTACCTTTGATGGTATCTTGTTACCATTATTGTAAAAAATTATATTAAAATATAGACACCGTATCCGCTACTAGAGATTGATGAATCAATGATTAATATTTAGTACAAACGATTAATATGTATTGCAAAATGAGCAATCTTCTAAATTACTTTTTATACCCAAAAGTCCTAGCCATCGTTGTCAGTCGACTCCAGTGTTTTGTGTCATTCATCAGTCCAGTTCTCGGTTGTCTTTGTCTAACTTACTGCATAAAGTTAAGTCTTTGTTTTTCCTGCATCTCTTACTTTGTTATACTCCTTACATGGTACGCCCAGTATTTGTGTCTTGCACTTCATCTGCATCTTATACTTAGGTGTTACACTATTGTCTTCCTATAACAAAGGCCTTTCGACACCGGCTGACACGGAGTGACAGCCGAGAACGGTAATTGCTGTATGAATACACAGTCAGCAGACTCAACATCATCGTCGTACACACATTACTATTCATACTACTTTAATTTTCTTTTTGTGTTACGACAAAGCGGCGCCCAATAAAGGAAATGTTTGTATATTACGTTAGAGTTGCTATTACAGTAAAAAAAATACCCAGCATAGTGGGAACGCGGCATAGTGGGGAGGTGGCATAGTTGGATCCAGTATAGATTTAATCTGACAGTGATTAAAATCACTATCATAAGAAACGCTTCGATGTAAGTCTGTAGATAATGTTTAATCCTAAGAAATTGGTGGATAATTACAAAATAAACATCAACTATTTCCTTAATTATATGCAGATTAGTAATTCTTAGATTCAAAAATATAATGTAAAATTATATATTATATAATTGTTATATGGAATTGTTTTCAAATTATTATTGATTATGATTTTTAATATATTAAAAGTAATGATTTTTAACCTACATTATTTCGTCCTTTAAAGTTAAAGTTTATAATAAAAAAAAATTGAATTTATTATCATAACTTTTAGCTCAACTTGCAAGTTTGAAATTTACATTATTAAATAAAAAAAAATACTTTCAAAAATCTACTCAATTCAGTGTTTTATAAAATTTGTTTATAATTGTAAAAATTCATTTTTAAATTTAGGTGAAACTAAAAATAATTTTGTTTTAGATTTATGATTTATAGAACAACATGTTACAAAAAAAATTGGAATATTATAGACTGATAGTAGCACACACAAATAGATTTAAAAAATTATTAAATAACAAAGTAAAATTATTTAATTTCTTCTCACGAGGGGAGACTATAGTGATGGGATCCTTGATATTTATTGAAGTTATTAAATCTTAAGGAGATAAAAATCAAATGATTTAATAATTTTTTTCTAACTCAAAAAATATGCAAAATATTAATCCCACAGTCGGATTCGAACCTCGTACCCTAAGAGTGAATGACACAAGTGTTACCGATTCAGCAACTGTACGTTGCTTTCGTCACATGATAAATTTAGCAATTTAAACTAATTAAAATTTTAAAGTTACTTTTTCGACTTTAAAACATTAAAAAATTGTTAATAAGTTTAATTTCTTATGTCTTATGAACTTAATTCTATGTCAATTAAATTATATAATATT